GGGGGGGGGGGGGGGGGGGGGAACGTGAGATTCGAGGATCGTCTTGTGGGAGTGGTTGTGTCAGTTGCTTCCGGGTGATGTGGCTGGCATCTTTTGGCAGCAAAGAACTCAGTTGGAAAGGCTGTGCCAGAACGAAGGGACGCTGCGTCTCATTGTCAGCTGCATTGTGTTTTGCTGAGGAAGATTTGGTTTTCCTGGGCGGATGAAGACTGCTTGCATGCCTCGCCTTTGCTTCCGCCGGTTGGCATAAGCAAGTTGCCGCCTTGGCACTACAAGATGCTCAATGACCACGAACGCAACCGTAGATACCATTCGGCAATTGCCCGTGGTGCGGCGAAGGCGAGTGCACGGCGGCAGGCCAACGGCTCCCCAGGTAGACCCAAGGTCCTGGACTGTGGCTGTGGCGCAGGGCTGCTGTCCTTGATCGCCGCCCGGCACGGTTGTGACGTCTCGGCCGTGGAGCTTTCGCCGCTGATCTCGGATGTGACGCTCGAGACCTTCAGAGACGTCAGCCAGGAGTCTGCTGCATCTCTGATGCTTCACACTGCGGACGTGCGGAGCCTAACGCCCGATGCTTTGGAGAGCAACGGAGGCCCAGGCCCAGGCCATGATCTCATAGTGAGTGAGTTGATGGATGCATCTGGTGTGGGAGAATCTTTGCTCAGCGTCTTGGAGCATGCCTGCCAGCATCTTGCGGCTCCCGGGGCACAGGTCGTGCCTTGCACTCTTCGCCTGACCGTAGCTCTGGCTTACCTGACGCTTCCGAACTGTCACGGTGGTTTCGATTTTTCGGCCCTGGACATGATCTCCTTCTGCTCCCTGCGGGGTGGGCCCTTCTCGGAGGGAAAACCGCTGCCAACACAACTGGAGACAGGTGCTTCAGGCCTGCTGACCGCGTCTGCTCTGCCATCTCTTCATGGCAAGGGACCTTTCACATCGCGAAACTTGAACCGTTTGCGAAAGGGCGAGGCCTGATCCGGGCTTGGGACTTTGATGGACCCGGGATGCAGGGGAGATGGTGCAGGTGCTATCACCAACCGCAATTCAATTCACCGACTTTGACCATCAGCATCAGCCCTAAGCCCGTAAGACTCAGCATGTCATGGCATGAGATGTAGAGCATATGGCTTCAAGGCACAACGTGCCTACCCAGGCCGTTCAGGCGATGTCCCGGTTGTACTCACCGCCCCTACCAGAACGACGCACTCTTGGAGGTATGAGTCTAGGTGCTGGTAAGAAAGAGCACATGTTTCACCTTTACAGGATAGAAACACAAGCAAAGGGGGGTTTTTGCATGTAGCTCGTGAGATATTCTTTTCTGATGCATGAAGAAGACTAAAAAATTGATCAGGTCTATACATGGAAGGCCAGCATGAAGGAGATGAAGGAGAGAGAATCGGAAGCAAGCTTCTACAGACGGATGTTGTCAGACAAGGAATAATAAGTTTTGGGCACGACCAAGGTAGTATGTCAGTAGCTTATGATTGTACGTATCTACGTATGTATGTATGTATGTATGTATGTATGTATGTATGTATGTGTGTATGTATGTATGTATGTATGTATGTATGTGTGTATGTATGTATCCATGCATGCATGCATGGATGGATGGATGGATGTATGTATGTCTGTAAAGTATGCATGCGTGCATCTCTTTATTTGGTGGGAAGGGGGCCGTCCATTCTGCAGCCTTTGCAGCGACTTAAGTGCCGTGTGAAGGCGGCAGGAGTCTTCCAGGAGAGGGTCCCTCGAACATACGCAAGATTCGGGCAAACAGGCGACTTCCCAAAGACAGACCAACAAGTCTAGGTTAGTGCCTGGGACAGGTCTTCCCGACACGCTAATGTTTCAGGGTGATGTCAACTACCTTGGCTTCTTGGGTCAGGTCTGGGACACGCTGACGCCCGAGGCTCACCTGCTGGAGGTGGACATTCGCCGAGCCCTGCAAGGCGAGTCCCTGTACCCTTGCAAAGGGCAGGTGGAGCTGATGGTGTCACAGGAGGGTGTTGCCAACTGCATCCTCTGGTGGTGGGAAGCCCAGCTGGACGAACATGAGACCATCTCGAACAAACCCCAAAGTCGCTTGACAGCATCGAGGTTTGCCTGCTGTGCAGTGTTTCGGTAGGATTGGGGCAGCTGTTGCAAGCTGGAAGCATAGGTTTCGGCATCACGATTTCTTTTTGCAACCGGCATGCCCAGGTCTTGGCAGTGGCTATGTGACTCATTGGCACCAGCCCCTTTGCCCGGTCGGCCCCATCCCTGTGGCAGCTGGTGATCGGCTGAAGCTGACGGTTGAGATCGCGGACGCTGCAGGGCAGAAGATGAAGTTCTCGCTTCTTTGCTTAAGCGTTGGACGGAGCCAAATGCACAGAGGGCTGCCCAGAGTGTGGTTGAGTTGTGTGCCGGGTACGCCGGGTGCGGCAGAGCAACCCGCAAGGCTGCAGCCATCTGAGCCGACTTCGGCCAGGCACTGGAAGGAGGGTGCAGGCGCAAAGCTGGCCCCAGACCCTCTGCAAGACTTACTCCTGGGTTGGCACCTTCGATGGCAAGCAGCTCTTAGAGTGCTCCAATTGACTACTGTGCTTTTCCAACCTATGGCACGCGCTCTGAGCTACACCTGAAGCAACACTTACAGTGACCTGCACAACCACAGCAGCACACTGCTCATTCTCCGTGGCAGCTGCCACGACGACGCCGGCGACATCTTATTCAAACGATCATACCATCATGTTTGCAGAATGCGCCTGCTAGACACCATGCTGCTATTTCTGTTCATGTGCCCTTCAGGCATGCAGAGATGGAGGAGGCCTGCGCTCTGAATTCAAAGCTCACGACCAAGTGACTTGGTGATGACGTGGTTTGACCAGGTTGAGGGTTTACATGGGTTTACAAGGCCTGCCAGCGAACATATCTGATTGCTTGGAGTTTGTGGGTTTGTTTTGGGTTGATGCCACATCACGCTTTCGGTTTCCATCTCCTCTTAGACGCCGGCAGAGGACAGTTGCTCAGCGCGGTATTGCAAAATCGAGGTTCACTTCCAGGGGCGACCTGGCTGGGCTCGCGAAGCTGCAGACCGCCGTGCTCTTGATGGTCGGCCGGATGTTACCAGTTCAGTGGGTTTTGGCGGTTGGCTGAGTTCAACAAAGTTGTGTGCCTCGCCAGGTTCTGGTGCCACAGGCCTTCGGCTGCGATCCCTTCATACGGGACAGGCTGCTCCAGACATACTTTGGGATAGCTTACAAGTAGGCCGCCCCAAGGCGGATCGCCGCAGTCGCGGTATCGAGTTGCAGGATCGCTTCAAGCAGGCCGACTGGTCCCAGCGCGTGGAGAAAAGGAGATACGATCCCAGGATGTCTCTGTGCCTGAAGCGGTGCCTCAGAGGCTGCGCTGCGACGGAGCGTGTGGCGGCAGAATGCTTCCAGGACACGATGCATCTCCGCACGCTCATGTCCGTGGCGCGGATCACGCCACCAAGGGTGCTGATCGTTGCAGGCGATGCGAGGGCGAGGGCGTTGCTGCGTAGCCTCGCCTTAGCCTGGAGTAGCATGTTTCGTGTCTTCTGCGAGGTTCAGACAGCGGAGGGGGAGCGGGACTCCAGGCGCGTGCGAAGCCTTTTCCTTGACAGAATGCCGGCTGAGCCAGCTCTGGGAGCTTTCCTCTCACAATTAAGACTGTTAGCAGGGCTCGCACCTGCGACATGCATCTGATACTCCGGTGCCATAATGGGACTTCTGCGATGCTGGAACTTGCACACAACCTATCAGCTGTGCCGAGTACTACCGGGGTAGCAGTCAAGGAAACATGAGGCAAAGCAATCGGAGCAATGATCTCAGAAACAGCCATGCCTTGTTATGTTCGGAACCCTCAGGCGGACCTGAAGAGCTGTACTGCCCTCGGCGCCTTCGGCACAACAGCCGTGACTGCGCTAACCGCGCAGAACTCTCATGGCGTCGCTTGGACTCCGTTGGAAGTGTGCCAAGTCATGCAAGTGTCTCAGGGTGCACGTTTTGGAGTTGAGGATTCTTCGGGCCGAGTGCGTTGAAGCGCCCTCACGAAAAGCTTCTTCTGAGGGTTGACAGAGTGGGATCAATATCTTTTCGCACTGATGGCCTGGAAAGTTATTTTCGTTACTTTTGTTTGATCTTCTAGATATGCGTGTGACTCCCGGACTTGGAGATACCGCATGTCATGTGATAGCAGATTGCCAGTTGCTGTCTTTTGTAGTTGGCTGCTTTGGATTGAGGTACAGGGCATTTTTCCGATTCCCATTGATTTCCTGCGGTCGCGCCTCGCTTGCACGAGCCAGGCCACTGCAGTTTCGTAGAGGAGGCGTAGCAGCTTACCGAGTTTGGCTCGGCTTTTCGGAGTGGTTTTGACGTTGATCCATGGTCCATGGTTTTTAAGATTTTAGCCTCCCCTGCTTGATCGAGGCAAATGGAGTCCGTGCTTACAGACTTCGGAACTGACGTGGCAGCTTGCTGTGAAGAGTGTCTTACCTGGCTCGTGCTTTGTGTATTGCTGTGATATGTTATGCTGACATTTCAAGAACAAGGGCATGCTTCAGAAAGAAGGGTGACCGCATTCAACCATTCAGCAAGCAATGTCTCGTCTCGTCTTCTGCGGCTGGAGGTGAAAACTGGGATGCTGGCCACTTCAGAAATTGTTTCCGCAGTTGCGGCGTCGCTGAAGGCAGGATTCCACAGCTCTGTGATAACTTGTGCCGCAGGGCTCTGAAGCTTGAGCAGCTATTGAGTCCAACCTTACAGCGGCCAGGGCAGCTGCAATCTCTGCAATCACAGCAAGTTCGGAAGTGCTTTTCAGACCGAAAGCAGGAGTTGAAAATACGTAGCATTTGCACCCGCGGCTTCATGGAAGCACAGCTGCAACTGAGTACGTACTGTACCCACGAACGAGACCGCCAGCGTCGATGTGTTTGGCCTTCCTACATCCCCGGGTCCGTCCCCGCTGCGAGGAACATGTTGCACCGGCAGAGCGCTGGCGCCGGATCCTTGTCGTAGACCCAGCGACTTGGCACTGCTGCAATGGTGACGACGACACTGCAGAAATGCTTTGCCACAAGTGCTGCTTCCGCTGCTGCTGGTCCTGTTCCCATTGTTTCTCGTACTCGCAGTCCGACGCGTTCACCTACTCCTTTCAAATTAGCAAAACTTTCACTCCTACGTTTTCGGCGACGATGCCGACCACGACGGCTGCAAGTACCACCACTGCCACGGCGGACGACGACTACGACTACGACCCCCTTTTCACCGGTAATTATATGCTTGAGAGACCAGGGAGAGTAGTGCCAGCAGCCATCGTTACCGTCGCAGAGATTTGATGCTTTGCATATCTACACACATAGGTAGTTAGGTAGGTAGATAATAGATATACTAAGGTATTCTAATGGTATTCTACATACATATAAGAAATACATACATAGGTTAGATAGATAGGCAGATTGATGGATGGATAGATGGATAGATAGACAGGTAGAGGTTCATGAAGTTCCTAGCCGGAAGGAAGCCCCAAAACTTGATGAGATTCTGTTTTTGAAGCTGCTGTGTGGAATGATCGGCTGAAGTGAGTGAGTCTTTCTGGACTTTCCAGTTCGGATTCAGTATAGTTCGAGTTTCGTTGGTATCCTATCACCTTGCCGGCCGCAAGCTCACATAAGGTTATGGTCTCGACCAGCGGGCACGCGCCACTCGGAGAATGTGGAAGTCGGATGAGATAAACATAGATAAGCTTTTTTGGGCTGCAGCATTTCAAAATCAGTGCTGCTTTGTTCAGAAGGGCAAGAATTTTTTCAACGTCCAAACGTGAGGTGAATCAGACAGTCTTAAGTCTGGCCACTCGGGTGGCTGCATCCAAGCCCAGTGTAGCATCGCATTGTTACTAGAGGTTGCTAGGACTTCAAAGAGTCGTGGCACTGATTGGTACTATAGGTTGCTAGGACGTCAAGAGTAGTGGCACTGCCCGGGACATCGCAGGCTTTCTCTGAACAGATTGAATCAGCTTCAGAGAGTTGAGCTTCAAGCTCGCTGCTGTTCTGCCGGTGGGGGTCGGGTTGCATGGGAGTTTAGCAGGAACAAACCACTCGCCATATGTAGCCGGCGAAAGGCTGTTGCAGCCGGATGCCGTGGAGAGCGTCAGGAAAGAGCTGCATCTCGTCTCCCCTGTTGGTTTGTGGAATGCGAGGGCTTGGTCCGGCTTCCTGACTCCTTATTCGCGCGGAAAGCCACTTCTGGGCTTCGAGGTCATGCGAGCGAGGCCTTAACTTGTCTCATTCAACAGGGCTGGTTATACTGCAAGCTGGAAAGCATCGTTGACCACACCCCTGATAGCTTGCAAGTGGGGCAGCCTCGCCCCCATGCCCGACCTTCCAGGTTTCCACTTGCGACGATCATCACTCCGAACTTGCCCGAGGCTTGCCCGAGAGCCGAGGGGTGATGTTTTTCCTACGAGTTTTCGCGGACATAGTTATTTACTCCAGTCGAAAGTCCAGAATCTAGACTATCGAGCCCAGAGTCGGGTCATAGTACGGTCTTGGGTTGTAGCTGGCCCACCCTCCCGCCCATCCGCCCATCCGCCCGCTCCTATGAGAAGTGGAACAACGGGAATTCTGCAGGGCTATGATTCCCAGGTTCTTTCAGCGCAGGTCCCGTCATCAAGCGCGCTTTTTGATGCTCTCGGCAAGGCTCGGCTCCTCCTGGGCCGCGATGGCATCGACACTGCTACAAGCTCACGGGGGCGGGAAGAGCAGCGAGGGGTAGAATTAGAAGTTCTCCGTGCAGAATCTTTGCATGTTGCATGTTAGGGAGCGTGCCCGCCTGCCTGGCATAGACCGAACTCAGGTCGAAGCCATGCGGCAGGCTGCCAGAGAGCTTGCGGCCATGGGCCCCGAGTGGGTTTTGGTCAAAGGCCACCGAGCAGAAGCAGCCGTTGTTTCTGTTTTGAAAGTGGTGGTGGCGTATGGTGGTATTATTACAAGTGTTACAAGTATGCCCTAGAGATTGCAAGGGTCCGACAATGTGTCCCTGCGATTCGGATCCTGTGCACAGAGGGGCGGGCGAGCAGACTTCCTCTGTTTGGGAACCCACCCAATCGGACCCACCAAACCGGACCCGGTGTAATAGTACCGTACTAGTGACTAGTAGCAGTGCAAGTTTTCCTAAGTTGTACTAGTGAATTAGTTGTCAGCCTCGTCATCCACAGCGGCGAACTTCGGATCATTTCTAACTGCGGATCCGAAAAAAGCACCCAAAAGCACGTAGCAGGCGTAAAGCGCTGAAAGCCAAGGGTGGGATTCCAGTTGAAATCAGACCGAACATGACGTGGATCTGGGCTTGACTCCTTCCTCTGCTGTTTCCGTGATGCCAGTTTGCTATTAGATTGCCGGACTTTAGCGCAGACAGGGATAGTTTCAGCATATCCATCTTACTGCGGAGCCTTTGGTGCGAGGCACCAGCGCGCCTTGCCCATCTTGTAAGCACCATTTCGTCAGGTGGACACCTCGCGGAGAGCTCGGGGCTCGGCAAGATGAGCGAACATGAGCGAACTGTAGGGCTGAGCCACAGCTGGCACTTCAAGTCAAGCTTTTTAAACAAGTTTCGCACCTGCCCGACGCCAGGCGAGGATGAGATGGAAGCGACTCTCGGTTATCGTTGGCAGGCTTTAAGCTTAAAAGCAGGCTTGATAACAGTCGCAGCGCGGTGTAGGACGAGTGCGCTTTCTGATAACGGCCGGGGGGACGCTGTACGAGAACACCAACGCCAACTCGATCCTAAGGACCGACGTGCTATGCAACGGCATCACTGGCGAATGTACGGCCTACAAGTCGTCAATGATCAAGACGTCGCACACTCATGGTACAGGATGGGGCGGTTGCTGTGGGCGTGTAACCTAGACGATGGGGCTCCTTCTGTTGCGCACTTCGCATTGAGAGCTTAATTACCTTATGCGAGAATTGAACTACATTCATCAGAGAGTGAAGGAATAGCATGATCCTCCCTTTTTGTGCTTCGAGTTCTGGGTGCTTTTCTGCAGGCTGCACGCTTGCTTCCTCCATCGCCAGCTGCCTGGCGAGAGGCATGGAGATGCCAATGGCTGTGCAGGCTGGAACTGTAGGCTCGGGATGAGCGTGTGTCGCATGTTTACCTAGCAAGCACTGCACATATAAATACTTTTGGGAAGCATCCAACAGCTTCGAGGGAAGCTTTCCTCAACATGAGCTACGCGAGCTGACGCGCGTTTGCAGCGCAGCCATACTGTCTATTCAATATTATCCCTTGCTGGCATATTGCCGCTCCGGTTTATCCAAGCCTCAAGAGGAGAAGCAGCTCGGACGCATTTAGCGTGGCGGTTTAGGGTTTCGGTTTAGGGATTGCAAGACTCGAGTCCCAACCACGATGACGTATTCGCATGGTGTAACAATCGGGCCGAGGAAAGTAAAGATGGCCAGAGTATGCCAGATTCATGGCGTCTGTGAGACTAGTTCGTGGGCCGAACATGTCAGAACGATGCATACGGTGATGGTCTTGTCAGCACGATTGTTTAAACCACAAGCCCAAGAAACAGTTCCACTTAAACAGGTCTGGTCATTGTAGTTGTGATGTCTGGACAGATTGCGCGACTCCACAGCGAAGTTTTGCAGGAGGCGAAGCGCTACGTTAGTGGGGCCATCGCGGCTTCTGCGTCACTTGGCCTCCATGGAGTATGGTGCTGGTATTAATACTGACACGACATTGCAATGCTTGCTGTGTGAGTTGTCAGGAGCACAGGCAACATTTTTACCCAGAGTGTGCTGTTATTGGCGGGACTTTGGCTTGGTATGGCATGCGTTGTGGGAAATGTGGTTGCCAAGGCTGTTTCTAGTACTTCGAGCATGTCAGTCTCGAGCTCATAATTTCCACTGCTGCTGTTGCTGCTACCAGTACGACCACGACTGCGGCTACGACTACTGCAATTATTCCTACTACTACTAGCCGCANNCCCCCCCCCACCCCCCCCACCCCTCTGCCAACCACTTGGCGCCTAAACCCAACATCATCATCGTCGGTGTTTGGACTACAACATCATGTTGTAAATTCCGAGTAAATGGATGTGTACTCCTACCACTTACTATTACTATTGCTATTACTAGTACCAGTACTATTGCTATTACTAGTGCTAGTACTAGTACTAGTATTACTATACTACAACTACGACGACGACGACGACCACCCCCGCGGTTAACAGTACTCTACAAGTTGCAGACAAGGCATACATCTGAACTCAAAATCCTGAAGTACAGTGCAGAGACGCTGCCTCCACCAACGCTGCCAGCGGTGCAAAGTCCCACTTCTCTCTGCGACTAATACTACATCTTATGCATTTCAGAACATGGTTGCGCTAGAGCAGGATGTGCCGGATGTGCCGTGAATTCGATTACGACCACGACGACATGTGGTTACTCCCACAAGGTTCTGCTCTATCGAATTTGTATGTCGCCAAGTCGGGAAATTTCAAGCTGAGGCATCTGGCTTTGGGAACTGGCCCCCAGGGGCCCATGAACCACAGCCCTTCGGCACTGATGATAGCTCTGACTTGCAGATGGCTCATAATGTGGTACTTCGGACTCTGGTGATTTGCTGTGCCAGCCTGACCTCGCTCCCAGGCTGGCGACTCTTCGAGTGGTGAGTCGCAGGATGCCTGCCTCGCTTCAACTGCCGACTGGCTTCTGGGCGGGTGCAAAAAACGATTCGTATGTGTCCCCAGCTTAAACCCGCTCCAGATGCACATTGTCCTACCCGCCTTGCAGATACTGCCATGCATCGCTATGCTGCTATGGTAATCCTTGCAGCAAGTAGGCATCTCCCGAAGCAGTTGCCAAAGTGCTGCACTGTGTCTGGGAGGTGAAGCAGATGGCCTCCTTCGCAGATACAGTCGGCAAGGAGCGCGATTGACTGTACCTGCTCATGTTGTCAAGGCTGCTCTGCATCAAAGTGCAAGCCTGACACTTGGATTTCTGTGAATTTCCGTTTGCCTGGGATGCATGCTCACAGATGCGTCGACTGCACGTCACAACCAGTGCCTGAATAGGCGCAGGCAGGGCAACCACACGCAGCGCGTATTACATGTCCAGCATGGCGATCCAGGAGTAATCAAGGTGGGAGCTTATGGTGAATGCACCTTGTACTGCAGTGGATGTTTGGGAGGACTTGCGTGCGTCGCACATTGACATTGCGAATGGGGCAGACAAGAGCAGTTCCCATTGGAAGGCAGGAGTTCGCCAGAGAGTTAGGGCACAGGTCCAAAGTTGAGAGTTTAGATGGATGCGCAACAGTCAGATGCAGAAATCTGCAAGGGGATAGCCGCAGCTTTTCTGATGCTGAGATCTGCTGAGCTGCTAGATCTGGGCATTCAATCCGAAGGCCGTCCAGACGTCGGAAATGGTAGCAAGCCCAGCTCGCACCGTGCGTGCTGCAATGTCAAGCCACCAGCAAGTGAATCCAGCTGCACCGTTCCTGTCTCTGTCAAGTATACATTTTCGCTTCAATCGTCGTAGCCGGGGTTTCCGCAAAAGCAGGGCCCAAGAAGACAGCACCCCTTGGCACTCAAATTGGTGAATCCAGCCTAACAGCAGTTCACCAGCCCACCCAGTTGATTGGATGCATAGACGCCAAGACTCCAAGGCAAAACGGCTGCCCACAAATATCAACACACCATATTTCAGCCCGATCAAGTCTCCATAACCCGAAGTGGCCTGCCATGGTTCTCGCCGATGACGAGGCTTGGTTTGATGCAGTTCAGCCCCGGAGTTGTGGTGTTCAACATCAGGGCCGACTCGGTCTTCATCCTCCCCGGCTTTGAGCGATGTAAGACATCACTCGCGAAATAAATCCATCGAACGCGTTTGAACGTGTTTTGACTTCAGGCCGCCATGAACCGACTCTCTTGAATCAGGGCCTGAAAGCATCCCCTGGCAAGCTTAGATATTGAAGAGACGACGAATGATCGCCCCGACGACACACCGTTAAATTGTCCCAAAGGACAGATAGCAAGCCTGCGACTGCAAACCAAAGTCCCATCCTACGCGCCGACAGGCAGTGAAGGTTCCACGATGACCGCACATCTGCTGTTCACGCATGCTCTTATCTTGCCGAGCTGCCATTTGCACCGCTGTCGGGTGTGCTTCTGGTTCCTTCATTCGTGGGGCTGCTAGCCCGGGTTTCCCTGGACAGGTGCACTCCGCCATGCGCGAGCAACTTGGATCGGCAGGAGGTTCCTACAGACTCTGTCGGAAACCTGGGATCGCACCTTGAGCATGAAACTTACAGTATCGTCACATAGCCGCTGATTCATTGTCTTTGTTCCTGGTCTTCGTGGCAGAAGTCGAGAGGTCAATGCACGCAGTATTTGCACGGGACATGGGCGAAATCTCTTGACGACGACAGCATGGCACAGAAGCACACGCCAGAATCAACAACTACGGCTACTGCTGCTTAGCACCGCTTGCATGACGACGAGCATTCCTCATCGCCAGGACCACTTGAGAATAAGAAGCAGATAGAAGTAAACCCTAAACCCTAAAGGATTAGAGCCATTGCCCACAAGAGCTTCGAATACCGAGGAAAAGCCTCGGCCAGACTCAGGAGCCTGAGGGCGATGCCCGGGGCCGGAGCCTCGGAGTTGTGACCAAGGTGATAAGGTTTAGAGTTTAGGAGTTTAGG